TGTCCAAACGTCGCGTAATTGTCAACAAAGAGTGGAAGTAGGCGAAAAATGGTTCTGAAAACCTGCTAGAGAATCCGGCTGCCAGCGAATCCGAACGTTAATCATTCCTTGGCGTCCCTCATTATATTTTACGAGCTGAATTTATATTTACATCAGAAACACTTGTTCGATAATAGTAGGAGCTATATTTCTTTATTTTATTCCTGGGAAGGTTATTTAGCTTTTCAAACGAGAAATGTATTAATAAGCGCGTTGTTTGTGGGCAAAGTCATCGAAAACTTCTAGATATTATTCTTATATTATTTAATTTATATTATTTAATTTTTAATATACAGCGTCGATTTTGACATTATTTTTACCAAATATGTGAAAAGACTTTTAAAAGTTTTCTAAGTTTGATTCAAAGTACGAAATTATTAAATAGAACGTTTGATAAAAATTTCAAATTTCATATATATTTCAATCTATATAATATTACTATTGAAAAAATTATTTCTTCTAAATTTCACCATTTTATGGTATAAAAGGCATTTCAAGTAAATGGAATAATAATGTTTGCCTTTTTTGATGTTCATTTTTCTCAATACATATATGTACAAAGAAGTTTAAATATTTTATACTAATTTGAGCCTAAATAGCTCGAGGTATATTAAACTTGAAAATTGTATTGAAATTTTCCACGATCATTTTCTTACGAGTTTCGTTAACACGTTTTCTGACATGATGGTCACTGGTGACCGGCGCATCAGTTCTACAACGTGTTTTTAAAACGCTTACAGTAAATGACATTGCCATTGGGAATACTGCAAAATAACAAGCACAACATTGAACTATTGAATATTTCTATTTATTATGCTACAATTTAAAAAAATATCGAAAATATCCCTATTCACATATCGAAATTAAAAAGTTCAATAATTACAATATGTCATCAATTTCGAGAAGAAAATCAAATACTTATTGATGACATGCAGAGTGGCATTTTTTAATTAATATCAAATAAAGAAGGGCCTACTTAATTACTAAAATTAAAAAAATATCGTAATTATTGTTATTATTATATTTCACACCTACCGTTTGGTGTTATTGCTATGCAACAGCTGAGAGTTGCTCTTTTAGTTGCCTAACCCTTTATGCAGAAGTAACTCCATTAATATTTACATGACAATCATTGTTTAACATACTTTTCAAAGTTGTGCAATTAAATTTCTTGCATTCCAACTCAAAAGTCCAATGCAGTAACATATTTGGGTGGTGTTATATTTATGCACCGCATTGTATGAGGGACAATGAAGCCTATGATCCATAATGGAGGATCTATGTATAAGGTCCGTAGACACGCGTGACGCGGTTTTCCCGTCTATCCTAAGCAGACGGAATCTCCTTTCGGACGCATCGCATTCCAGCCAGTTCGTCAGCTGAAATTCTTCCCTGTCTACATGCCGGAAGCGAAATCCGAGCGGGATCCAACGCTCGTGCAATTAACGGGAGTTCCTCCAGGGAGAATATCGACTGACGTTCGATATCTCGCGACCTCCATGCGACTATGCTCGCCGTGGAATATGTAAACAGGAAACGAAAAGAACATCTTACGAAATAAGATCTCGCCAGGTGCATTTGTAATGCGCCATTAAGACGCGTTATAAATATGCAACGGTTGCGCACGTGGATCGAACGATTAATTACTGAAAGCAAAAAAATGATTAATACTTGTGCCGCGAATGGTTAGGCTCGACAATGAAAGAAATCGGTCCCAAGATTCTCGTACGAGCGTATAATTCGACCGAAACTTTTACGATTCCTTTAATAGTGAAATTAATGCTAGATTTTCAGATTGCAAATATTTTTATCGACTACCTGTCGTTAACGTGTGATTTCTCTGTTAATTAATAATACGATTAGATTTGTTTTCCTATTAATACAGAGTGTTCGGCCATCCCTGGGAAAAATTTTAATGGGAGATTCTCATCAATGTTTTGACTGAAGCTTCGTTAAAAAGTTATTAAAAAATTAAATTAAAAAATTTGAAATCATTCTGAAAAAATTTTTTTTTTGTTGCGAGGGTCAATTACAATCATTTTTGGTGAATAGACATACCCCCAAAATCCTGCGCATTTTCGAGAAAAAAATTCAGTACTGGCGGAACTTTAAACGTTAATCATTTTTTAACGAAGCCTCCATCAAGAAATTGGTATTCTTGATTTTCGATCTATTTTGGCCTCTAGTGTCTCCCATTACAATTTTTTCCCAGAGGTGGCCGAACACCCTGTATATGTAGCGAAGGTTCTACTATATTTATTATATCCTGGTTTATTTTACATCATCTTGTTTTGTTTTTAACGTTAGTTTTGCGTAACTAGTAATAAATTACGATTTTACTGTGAAGTGGTTCGAGTCGCTCAGAAGATATATAGTTATTAATCCTAATAGAGTTAATCGTAAAAAAGATTTTTATTATTCCCCCAGTGACTCTTCACTCTCGACTAGTCTTGCTCTTTGTCTTTGTTGCTCATTTGAATGGCGTTCATTGAGGAAGCGTTCTCTGACATTTGGTTTTATCGCTTCGCCGTAATAACCCATCCTGAAAGTAAATATAAATTTTAAGGTCGATGATAGAATCCGAGAGGAAGTGAATCACGCGAGCGTTAATTTTCACTAATACGAGCGAAAGAGATCGATTAGAGCTAGATGCGTTAATTATGATTTATATTTGTTAACATAAAATGAATTTTCCAACTTAATTTCATCGAAAATTCGAGCCTTTTACACGAAAACATTGTTTCACAATTTTTTTCATGAAACATCATTGCTTATTCATTCAACAAATTGTAAAATTTAATTTAAATTAAAATTTAAAATTTAATTTCTTTCTGTTTTAATAAAATTTTATAATTTTTACTCAAAAGCATGTAATTAAAGATATTTATATTAAAATTGAATGTTATTCTTAGTGTTTAAAAAATAAAATTGTATAATTATTCACACTTTTCTATTCATTTTTTGAGTTAACAGTGAAGAAATTGTTTATTGTTATCAGAGCACCCAGACAAGCTATCCTCGCGGGATATTTGAAAGTAAAATTGCGCCATGAAGAATTCATAGCGTTTTAAAGACGCTTAGTAGAATAGTAATTCAAAACTGGTTGCATAAATTAAAAATTGCATCCGTCTGTTCGGTGTTTTCTTTATAATTTTTCCGTGAGATTACCGACATCGTTACGACTTGTACTGTAAAGAAATCTGTTGCCTGCCCCTCCGCGAGCATTACCAAACACACCTGTCCTTGTCATAGTTAGCAAACAGCCTCCTTATCTAACGACTAAACAATCGATAAGAAGGCATTGCAGAACTGACTGCGACCTACATTCCTAGTATCAACACTGAACGTTACAAATGGAAAATTTATTTATAACCCGTAAGTTCCTTGGTTAATTGAATAATTCTTGATTCAGATTTATAAAACAATTTTATACTCTTTTTTATATACGACTTCTCCTCTATTGTTAGTTATAAAACTAACTCGTGCTACAAAAATGGTAGATTTAAATATTTCCTGTTTCATAGGGTCACAAAATTTTTAAATAAATATGTAATGTCACAAGAATATTGAAATTTGAATTTTAGAATTTTCGTTGATTTGTTCGTAGACTCATCGTTTGTGGCAAAATTAAACTCCTGGAATCGTAAAAACTGTTTGTGGGATACATTGTCAATAACATGACTTTCTTTCTGGATGGTATAAATGTTAGAAGCAGTTTTAATCATATAAAAATCGCGATTAAATTTTCACAGTAAAATATATCGAAAATTTTTCTTCGATTCAATATAGTTTTTATGCACTTTAATGTATTGACTTTACACGTTCATTGAGTATTTTCATCTTATTTTATCTGTGTGCATTTAAAAATTTCTTTTAGCTAGCACATTGCGTTAATTAAGTAGATTTGCAACACTTGAGGTAAATTTCCATTTTTGCAGCTCATTAAAATTTCTAGAACGGAAAACTTAACGATAACCCGAAAGATGGCAGAAAGCCGTGCAAAATGGAGGGAAATATTTCGAAAATTAATTTGCAATACCTAAGTATACTGTACATAGGTAAAAGAACATTTTTAAAAAAAGACTAAAACTTTTCTACACACCTAATACCTTCTCCAATCGAAGGCAACTCTTCATTTATGGCAAAATTAAACTCCTATAATCGTAAGAACCAATACAGTACTTTGTTAACAAAATAACCTTCTTCCAAGCAATTTCAATTGCATTCAAATCACGATTAAATTCCCACATTAAAATATGTAGATTTTTCTTAACGTGGAAGTTGAAAGAAAATAGACAAACTTTTATTATTAGCACAGAACAGGAAACTTGACGATACTTGATGAGCCAAAAGGAGGCTGAAAGATGGCAGAACGTCGTACAAAATGGAGGGAAATATTCCGAAAATTAATTTCCAATATCTAAGTATATTATGGATAAGTAAAAGAACAACCTCAACCTGCAAGTCAGCAATTACAAACAAACTTTTATTACTATCACAGAACGTTGAATTATTTCTAAACTTAATTTGCAATACCTAGGTATACTATGTACAAGCAAACGAACAACCTTAACCTGCAAGTCGAAAGTTACAAACGTTTATCATTATCACAGAACGGGAAACTGTACGATAACCTAAAAAGGAGAAAAGAAAATCTCCGATTCGATAGTAGAAAACTGAAAGCAGTCAAATAAAAGCGTGATTGTTAATCGTTGGTAAAAGATGGACGCTTACGAAACAGGAAGGAGATGGAAAACGGGAGCACCTCCCGCGATATATCCTTGGTCCAGAGCCAGTCTCGCTCACCCACGTGCCCCGCATAGCAAGCACGTCGGAGATTCGGGTTTCCCGCAGGAAGGAGGAGGAAGCGAGCCACGGAGGAAGAAGAAGAGGAAGAGAGGAGAGGGCAAAGGCAGCTAATGGTAATGGTAGCAAGCCAGTGTCTCTCGGGCCGCCGTCGAAGCCGGTACATATATTCCCTTCCTGTCGTGGTCCACGTGTGCTCGCTTTTTTCCCCCCTCGACTTCTTTTCGGACGTTTCAACCTTCGAGTCGCCTCGATGCCGTAACCTCGGGGAATTGGCGGTTCGTCGATCGCCGCGGACGAGTTCTACGGGCTCACCCAGCCTCCTTCTTTTTCTCTTCCGCCATAAGCGTTCCCTTCGCGATCGCTCCAACGATCCCTACCGAGACCATCTTTCGTACACCTTCTCCTTCATACGTCGCGAAAATCCTCCTCCAACAATCGTGGCGAGCAATTCGCGCTGGAAAAATCCGAAGATCCAAACGTCCTCAAAGATTTACAGGCACAGTGACAGTGTGATCTCGATCAAACAGTGAACGACGAGTCTTGGAGTGATACTGTCCCCCAGCTCCCACGAAGACTGTGAAAGCTCTCTACGCGAATCGACGGTGAAACGATCGCGTTAGATCGCCGCCTAGATCAAAGTTCGAAGGTCCCTGGCGTCCTGCGATGATAGACGCGCGGAGCGAGCCAGTGCATCCTCTGAGCATGGGGTAGAAATGCACCTAGGAAGGTCAATCTGGACCCGGGGCGTCGTGGCCCTCGGAGTAGGGGCCCTGTTTCTGCTTGGATGGAGGGCAGACTCCGACGGCGACGAGTCCTCTGCCTCCGGGTCCCCAACGATCGACTCGATCGCGCGGGACTCGGACTATTTCGCCGCGATCGACGCGTCCGTGTCTGCTTGGAACCGGGACGAGGAGGAGGATCGTCAGTCGAGGACCGATCTAGGGACATACTCGACGACTCCGTCGGACGAAACGATCGACGGCGGTTCCTCGGAGGGCGAAAATCGGTTTTCGAACGACGACGAGACCCGTGGCGCGTTGAATGGTTCGGAGATCGGTGAAAGGAGCGACTCGGATGAGAATTTCTCGCGGGAGGTGAATGGAGAACCGATGAATGAAGTCGAGAACAATTTGAGGATCGACGAGGAGCCGAGGTTCCTTACGGAGACTCCAGACCCGCTCGAACAGTATTTCTATTCCACGGAGGACTACGGGAACAAAGATCGTACCGTGGACGCGAAGGATTATTTATTACGCGCGTTCGCCAATGTTCGTAACGACAATAGAGAAAATCTCGAGGAGGAAGACGATTCCGTTTCGAAATCCGTGGAAGTGGATGGAATACCGGAGAATCGAGATGTTTTTTTTCGCGTGGATCATGGGCCAGACCAGCCTTCCGCGAAGATATCGGGAACGTTCGGAAGCCGTAAAGAACGGGACCTCGGGAAGGTCCTTGAAAGAGGAAGACGCGAGGGATCTCTCGATCGATCGCCCGGGGCCGGTGATCTTTCGGCGCGTCTTCGCTCGATCGCCCTGGAACGCAATAAAAGTGACGGCGGCCACGACGAATTCGGAATAACGGATCGAAACGGGGCAGAATCTTTCTCGAGAAAATCGGATAAATCTGCAAACGAACAGTTTGGTGTGAACGTGAGAAGGGAGATCTCTCGTGTGGCGGAGGATCCGGCTCGCAGAAAGAGATACACGAATTACTATTCGCCACAGTCCGCCACCCCGATGGCGTACGTTCACATACAGTCGGCGTATCCGGTCCCAGCGGCTCCACCCGCGAACCGGAAGTGCGTACGGTGCATGGTCGTCTACAAGCCGTGTCCTTCGGCGCCCAGACCGCCGCCCAGGATCGTCCTTCCGACTTACAAGTACCAGGAGCCTGCCTCAAACTGGCGCGGACTCAAATACGGTGAGTTCTGCGTTAAACAGTGTGCAAAAGTGGCCAAAACGCTGACAAAATATGAAATCGATCTTTGATTTGATTTACAAAAATTAGTACATTATGGTTCTCGGGGTGGCTGATTACGAGTCTAATGTGAAATTAATGTTTGAATTAACCGTTCATTGATCAAAAGTATTTTCAATATGAAATAATGAATTTTTTAATTCCTTATCAATAAGATATTATTGCTCAACATGATACAATTGAGAAACAAACAGTATATTGAAAAACTAATAATATTCATAGTTTAGTTGCTTAAACCATAACTACGTAGAACAGGTATTGTTTAATGTATAAAATATACGTAAAAGATACATTTACATATACGTATAGATATGTTTTAATGTGTACTAATAGTATAACATATAACAGTAAATAACAATAAAAGTACGGTTTCAATCATTAATGAAGAATTTAGTGTTATGAGTCATGAAGACTATGTTGTTACCACTTTGCTTTCCTTGTTATTTTTTTGAAAGAGAATTACTTATAATGTTTATTTTTCATGTTAAAACATATTTTTTGTTTCAAACGTGTTTATGAAAAAAATATGACATATTCTTACAAATTTTTGTAAAAAACAGATATTAAGGGAGGAAAGCACTGGGACAGCTGAAAATAAAGGCAATTTTCAAGAATTTTTTGGACGTAACTATGAAACATTTTCTGATAAATGTTTAATGTTTTCGAAAGTACATTTCTTTGACTACTTCTTGTAAAAACAGGAACAGATATTGTTTAATTAAACAGATAAATAATAATAAACAAATGTTTAACCAAAAATAATATTTATTCGCTGTCAGAGTCAGTACATTCACCAATTGATTTATTTTCTAACAGCATTGCCCAAGCATCAGACGGTATCTCTAACTTTCTTGGAATAATTCGTTTTGTACTTTTATGTAAACTTCTGATTTGGAATTTTATTTTATGGAAATGTGAAACATTCAACAATTCAGGTATTCGACTATTTTGCCTATTAGGTGTCGAAAGACACTTGAAATTTTAGTTTGAAATTATTTTCCAAGTTCAATCGCTGTCTGCGTTAACTTTTGGTAAAAATAAGTGTGCTTAAGACTGCAATAGAGATGGCGTTAAGTATCAGATTGAAGATTACTCGAATAAGGGACGGAAATTAATGTTAAATTTAATTGCTCTATTTACACAAAGACTGAAAAATAATTCAATACCACAATCTTTCCACGGAATTTGATCTCCCGCATTATCTTCTGTTTGTAAAACTTAAATTCCCCCACAGAAGATAAAGTTACAAATTCCTGAAATTAATTAGACCCTGCCCATTGAAGGGTAAATAAGGAAGCTTGTTACGAGCAGAGATAAATAAAAACACGTCATCAAGTCCAGAAATAATTTTCTTCTAAATACGGGGAGGAAATACGCGTGACTGGGGCAGGGGGGGGGGGCAGAAAATCGTTCGTATCTTGGTAACCCAGAGCTTAATTACGATTTTTCTTGCGTTAAAGGGGGTCGTGAAATTCGCTGAACGTATAAAACATCGCTAGAGCATCCCCCATCGTTGATTGCAATTTATGGCCGCGCGGTTTGCTCCTAGAAAAAGCACCTCGACGAAACATTGCTCGGTTAATGAGCAGCATCCGAAGCTCCTCAACTTCTTCGCGGAGGACGAAGGTCGAATCTCCGACCTAACACGACGCTCACGGTTCTACTTCCGTTTTCTCGTCCATCGTCCAAAGCACCGCCATCGAGAGATCGTTTCGATTCGCCGGTGATAGACGATCCCAACTCCGCGATTCGATCTTTCTGGTTAACGTTTCAAGTTCCAGAGCGTTTTTTTAAATTTCGTTCGAACGAATTACGTTTGTCAGCAGATTAAAAAATGTTAATCAATGTTTACGTTGGACGTTAGCGTAACTTTTAATCGGTATGGTTCGTTAAACTTTTCAAATATTCTTCAGAAATTCCATTTGTAAACATTCGAACTGTATTTGTATTTGGATAGTTAATCGATGTTTGATATAAAACCATACATGGTCAGTGATTTTATTTTTATCATGATTAAAGATTAACTCCTTGCCGTACAATGACGAGTCTGATTCGTTGTAAGTTCTTTGTGATAAGTTTCACACGAACGACGAAGCGATGAAATCTAATATATTAAAATGAACACATTATTACATTCATGAGGTATTCTGATCTTTTCTGTAAGCATTGCATGTATGAATAAATTTAAACAAAATATTTGTGATTGAATCGTACGTGAAGGGGTTAATTATCTTTTTTGTTTGTTTGAACCACCGTTCTGTTGGAAGGCCCATAATTCTTCTTTCTATTTACAAAATTGTTCCAATGCTACCTGAAAGTATCTTTTGCTCTAATGGAAAACGGAGATAAGTGTTTGATATTATTTAGCACTCAGGGAATATAATAATAAAGATAGTGGGAAGGTATTAGAAGAAATCGAACGAGCAGCGCGAGGAAGTGACTAAGTTAAGAGTGGAAGAACGTTTCCGTGGAAGGCATTTGCGTAGGCACGTACCTCGATCCATTGAAAAACGACGAAGAAACTAAAAATATCAGCATATCAACGTGCTGGCAGATGTACGCGTGCATTCGCACGCAGAAAAGTGCGTGATGCCGTAGCGAAAGTTCGTGATGGGACGGGATTAAGTGAGAATAGGGATGGGATTAAGAGTATCGCAAGCAATACTGATACCTTGGACCAATTTTCATTCAAATATTCGAATTTTACTCGCTAGTAATATTTATAGAACCCAAAATCGTGACGAAAACTATTACAAAATTTACTTTTCTATTTTATAACAAATGCACAAGTTTAACTTTTCTATTTTTTAAGTTTATATGAAATGAACATATCATGTTATAGATGAATTTGTGTCTTCCATAACCATATACAATTACTATAATAATGCAAGTTTATGTGATAATTTATATATATTCTTCAGTTTATTCACTACTTATAAAAATACAAGGTTTGAATTTAGTACTCACTAATTTTACTCGTTATTAATATTTATAGAATCCAAAATCATTGTGAAGACCGTTACGAAATTTGCTTTTCAATTTCATTAGAAATGCACCAGTTTGACTTTTCCGTATGTCAAGTTTATATGAAATCAACACATCGTATATACTAGTTGAATTTATGTCTTCAATAATCATACACAATTACTGTATTAATGCAACTTTACGTGATAATTTATATATATTCTTCAGTTTATTCATTACTCATAAAAACCCAAAGTTCGAATTTAAAAGTCACTAATTTTTAAATAATCAAAAATTGCATCAAAAACCATCGAAGAAGTTTCTTTTTAATTTGACCAAAAATAAACAAACTCTGACCTTTCCAAAGTAAAAATTATTCTAGCGATTGGCAGTTTATCGAACGAACAGTATTTTTCTTACGATTTCATAGTAACTTGAAAGCCATGTTCTATCTTCTTAGTTCATGGGCAGCCACCAACATCGCCGTTATTAAAATATTTTTATGCGGTATCATTACTCGGCTTTTTAGTCGCGTTGCACACACGCCACCGTGAACTCCCATTAATTACGTCACGAATGCGGTTAATGACCGGTATCAATCACAAGAACGTATAACATAATCGGGTCGAACTCGATCCACCGTGATCGTGCGTGGAAATGCTCGTTCAGGGTGGCCCCCGATGTAGATCTTGCTCCTCCTAGCGCGTCCTTTAATTGACGCCCGTCCTTGTCGGGCGACGTCCATTAAATTTTCCATTCAGATCTACGCAACGATAACATCGATTACTATCAAAATTGTCGCAGCGATCGCACGCATTCACAATAACGATCACGAGTTATACGAGTATTCTCTTTCGAAATTAAAAAAAATATTTTCACAAATTTCTGATACGCCTGTTCATAATTGAAAAATATTATATTTCGCTCTCCACAACATTCGTTAAGTAGGAAAAGCTTTGACTTTGAAAGGATCATAAAACGACACTTAAATTAATTGTTTTAGGGGGAGGGTAGAAGAATATTACGAAGTTAAATTAATGAAGTTAGGTTAAGATCATAGAGCAACCTGGCGAATTCATTATTTCAATCAATATATTTCTTCATCTACGAAACACATTTCTTTCGTTTTGAAGTTTCAAAGAACCGCATGAACTTTTTAGCCAATACTTTTGTTCCGCGTTTCCTCGAATTGCTGTCGCGGAACACGATTAATTGTACGGTACGATACAAAGTCTCAGACGTATCTCGTTGGACGGAAAAAGATTTAAGATGCTATCTTGTAATGGATATTGAAATTGATGCTGTTATTTGCACTGCACGATAGAGCGAGATACGACGCGGTGCAGTTACCGTAGGAAGATCTATAATTAAACGCGTCGTGGTTGCTTTAGCGAATTAAAATTGCAAAACTTTGCCGAAGCGGTTTTTTAAATGAGACCGCGTGGGGGACGTGAATTTATTTTCAAACGGGAGTAAGAATATATTTATCTAGTCTTTTGTTTTTCGTTTCATAAAAATATTACTCAAACTTCGACTTTCGTTTTGAAGTTCACTTATCTATCCTCGTTGGGAGTTTGCAAGAATACTGTAAAAGTTCTAATGCTGTTTGGACTCTCAGGGTATGAAAAATATAATTAGAAACACAGAAATAGTATCATTTTTCGTTTTTTAAAAATATTACTCAAACTTCGACTTTCGTTTTGAAGTTTACTTATCTGTCCTCGTTGGAAGTTTGCAAGAATACTGTAAAAGTATTCTCGGGGTATGAAAAATATAATTAGAAACACAGAATTGCTATTGTCCATAATTTAATATTCCTTGCGTTTAGATAGCAATCTTAGTTAAATTAGATTCCGAGGTTTACCGAATAGGAAAATTGACGAATTTCCTTTTACCGCGTTAGGGAAACCGCAGCTCTGTTGATTACACTGAAAGTGGGCAGGTAATAGCAGTGTCACCACAACGAGAATCTAGTAAACAATGAATACAGACAAATAAAATACGTTTTATTTTCAAACCAGAAATTTGTGATACCTCTAACCCATTTAACAGACTTCGTGTATATATTTTGAACGTCGTAAAAAATACTGATTCATTCCTCTCTTGAATTTGGATGGAATTATCAATAATGTAGACGAGGTCTGGGTTAGGTGTGGATGAAGTAAACGGAAAAATCTTATCGAAACTCAAAAAATTTCATTAATAAAACTCAAGAAGTTGAATCACTTTAGCGTTGGGACAATTGATCGAAACATCAATATTCGAACTGTCATATATTCGTCAAAGAAAATCGTACTTAACAGACTTCGTGAGTATACTTTAAACATCGTACCCTCTACTTTTACGATTCTAAGTTAATATTTTTAGGCAAACCATTTATACTAACAAGAAGTAGTTAGTCTAACAAATTTTTCAATTCTAACTTCTCCTGAATGGTTAACAAACTTTTTACTGAACTAAAATGTGTAGAAAGTACAAAATTTTGCTCGATCTTAAACGAAGATTGTTAACCAGGTAACTGTTTCGACCTCTTTGGAAAATGTGTATCTAAATTGCGTCGCAGAAATTTAGCGATGACGAGTATACTCGTCAAACACAGAGTATGTGTAAGATGAAATTAGGTTGTAATAAAATGACTTTTATTTTTTTGTTTCATTACTCACATGTATTTATTTACTTAAATTAATATAAATATTTTGTACATGAATGAAAAAAAAAACATAAAAAACACCGCCTTTTGAATACATGTAAAAAGAAAACGAAAGGATCCTCATCCCGTTTTTTATTACCAGGCGCGCTACTTATTACATAGTTTACAACAATATATGAATCCGTAATTGCTTCTGTAATAACTAATAAAAAACAACGATACATTTACGAAAACTAATTTGTAATATATGCGGTTTTTTTATATTAATTATTTATAAACTTTTATTTGTTCCTTTTATATCGACGGGCCTGAAAATATTTCAAACATCTTGAAGTTTACGAATATATTTTAGTTTTCACTATAATAGTATACTCGTCATAAGAGAAAATTTTGCACTTTTTTCATGACGAGTATACTCGTAAGAAACAGTTAACTGGTTAAAGGCAAATATTAATATTAACATTATTTTCTCGCTGATACACGAATCCCTGTCGAGGATTCCACTCTGCTGAAACACTTTGAGCTTCGTCTCGTTATTAGTAACCATAATCGAGGCTCTTGAGTGCTCGATCGCGTTTACTTGCGATCGGCGTGAAACAACGCGCAACACGCCCTTCGATTCTCGGACCTCTCATTTGTATCATACATACCTGTTCCATTATGCATTATCAAGCAACGCAATTCGCTAACGGTACTCCCATTCGAGACACATTTAAAAGAAGCTTGAAACGGTTGAATCCCACCGCGCGAACCGCATTCTTTCCCTGACGATACGCATCGGGTCGTCAAAACGCGCGAGTGCCTACGATAAAGCTAATTTACAACGATATTACAACTCCCCCGTTCGCCCTTCGTCCACGACGAGAATATATACGGCCTCTGTTTGCTCTTGTTTCACGCTGTATCTCATCGCCCGGTTTGCTCAAACGTTGCACGCACACAT